GTTGTTAAAGGCTTTCATGACCGGAACCACTGGGTTGCTGGAAGTTTTCCAGGCTGTATGACCATATTCCAGAAACATTCTCTCCTGACGTTTCACCCACATCTATGGCAGGCATCCTCAAAGGATTTCCCCAGGCAGGAAGCCGCCAAGCCTTGCATCCAACAGACAACACTTCTTTCTCCACCCTGGACATTCCACAGATATATAAAACCCCACTTGCCTAGTTTCCAACAGACCTCACAACCTCTGAGAATGCCTGCCATAGATGTTGGTGAAACATCAGGAGATAATACTTCTGGAACATGGCCATACAGCCTGGAAAACTCACAGCAACCAAGTGTTCAAGTGTTTTTCCTAATATTTTCAAGTTGGTTGAATACTTGTATGCAGAATCTATAGATATGGAGATCCATCTGTAACTGGATGCATTCCATTTTCTATAAGGTGTTCATACTAATCAGTCAATATAGCCACACCTTCACCTTGTGTTTCGTGTTCCTCAGAGTAAGAACTTTGGACAATGGGTGCACTGTAGAATTAACGCAATTTGACACAACTTGTATGGCAAAGGCTCAATACAATGGAATAATGAAAGTTGTGGTTTACATGTACTTTGAGCCATCTTTGGAGCTACCAGTGGCACAGTGGGTTAAACTGCTGAGCTGCTGAACTTGCTGACCAAAAGGTTGCAGGTTCAAATCCAAAAATATTTACCTTTACCTACACAGAATTGAGGTGCATCAACACTGTAGAATTAATACAATTTGACACTATTTAACTATCATGGCCTAATGCTATGGATTTGTGTAGTTTTACAAGGGAGGCCCCAGTGATGCAGTGGGTTAAACCGCTGAGCTTGTTGACCAAAAGGTCACAGGTTCAAATCCGGGGAGCAGTGTGAGCTCCCGCTGTTAGCCCCAGCTTCTGCCAAACTATCAGTTCGAAAACATGCAAATGTGAGTAGATCAATAGGCACCGCTCCAGCAGGAAGGTAACAGCACGCCATGCAGTTATGCTGGCCACATGACCTTGGAGGTGACTACGGACAATGCCGGCTCTTCGGCTTAGAAATGGAGATGAGCACCATCTCCCCAGAGTTGGACACGACTGAACTTAATGTCAGGGGAAAACCTTTACCTTTACCCTGAGCCTTCTTTGTCAGAGTGCTGGTGCGTCAACAAACCCCAATTCCCAGGAAGCCATAGTATTGAGGCATAGCAGTTAAAGGGGTATCAATTCTGCAGTATAGATCAGGCATGGGGAAACTTTATCCATCCCTCCAGGTGATTTGGACTTCAACTCCCACCATTCCTAACAGCCTCAGGCCCTTTCCTTTCCCCCCTCAGCCGCTTAAGGAAAGGGCATGAGGCTGTTAGGAATGGTGGGAGTTGGAGTCCAAAACACCTGGAGGGATGCCCAAAGTTTCCCCATACGTAGTTTAAATACACCCATAATTTATGCAACTATTGCATTGGGTGTGCAAACTATCTTCAAGGTGTATATTTCAGAAACAATCCTCTTCCAAAGCTGCTTTGTCAATCTCCCGGTTCCTTAAAACCTCGAATTATCTCACATTATCCCCTTGGAGTCTTTGTGGTCTTGTTGTGCGTGTGATACTTAAAGCCAGTGTCAATTATCTCTCCTGCCGGCTTCAAAAGAACAATTATACTTCATAGCATGTTTTGCTTGCCATGGTTCCTTAATGGGGAAGCTCACCTGGCCAAACCGCAGAGCAGGTTTCCTTTGCTGCCGAAGTGTGTGTGCCTGCGCCTCAGACCCATGCAAATCATGCTCTCGAAAAGGGAATTGGAAAGTGGAAAGTGATGCAAATCTCATTTTGAGTAAGTTACCTAGGGTTAGAAGCGCTATTGCCAAGGTAGCCGGGTATCATTCAAATATCGGATCATTCTTGATGCAGCTGGTTCCGTCTACGGGTGCTCTTCCTGTAAAGATATCGTGAAATATATATTGATAGTGGCATCCAAAATTCATTTGTGGCCAATTCCGGTGAAGATTTCAAGCTGAGGATTTCCGCAGAACGGACTACCATTTCGAGGGTAAAGTTTTAACAGATATAATCCAAATGAAGGACAAGCAAAATGCAACCAAATGTGGCATGTTCTTCAATCTTAGTTGGCAACATAGCAATTATATCTACTTTTATTGATGTCTGAAGGTGAAAGTTGGGAAAGGAAGAGAAGACAGAGGTAAAACAGAATAAATTATTATTTGATACATAACAAGATTAGTACACAGCAAACAAGATCACTACGCTGGCTTTTGTATTGGATCAAACATCAGGCACTCCCCAAGTGTCTAGGACTGTGTGAATAATGTGTGCAGATCTGAGTAGGGTGGCCTTTTGCAGCTCACAGTGCTGATTGTTTTTAAGTGCAGGCCAAGGTCTTTAGACACTGCACCCAGTGTGCCAATTATTGTTGTTGTTGTTGTTGTTGTTTTTGTTGTTGTTGTTATTTGAAACACAAATAAAGGGAATTGGAAAGTGGAAATTGCCTCTTTTGTATTGTATCTTAAAAGAGAAGACCCAGGGGAATGGGCTGTTTTTGAGGGGAAGAATCAGGACTTAAAAGCCAAGTGTCACATTTGTAACACTTGCCATTGAGGGATCTCGATATTTTATTATTATTATTATTATTATTATTATTATTATTATTATTATTATTATTTGAAACACAACAAGATGAATCCACAGCAGACACTCTGCTGGCTGTTGAATTGGACACTTCCCAAGTGTCTAGGACTGTGTGATGTATCGGCGAATAATGTGTGCAGATCCCAGTAAGGTGGACTTCTGCAGCTTGCAGATGGTGATTTTGTCAGCGCCGATTGTGTTTAAGTGCAGGCCAAGGTCTTTAGGCACTGCACCCAGTGTGCCGATCACCCCTGGGACCACCTTTCCTATTATTACTATTATTATTATCATTATTATTATTTTACTGACACAAAAGCACACTATGTCCCAGCAAATGAGATCTATGTGCTGGATTTAATATCACAAAATCACAAGTCAAACACTTCCCAAGCATCTAGGATTGTGTGATGCATTTTTGAATGATGCGAGCAGATCCAAGTCAGGTAGCCTTTTGTAGCTGACAGATCGTGATTTTTGTCGATGTTTATTGTTTCCAAATGCCAGCTGAGATGTTTTGGCACGGCACCCAGTGCGCCAATAACCACTGGGACCACCTGTACTGGTTGATGCCAGAGCCTTTGCAGTTCGATTTTGAGGTCTTGATAGAGGCTGAGTTTTTCCTGTTGTTTTTCCTCAATGCGACTGTCACCTGGTATGGCGACATCAATAATCTTTTTTTCTTTTCCACAATCATAATGTCTGGTGTATTGTGTTCCAAAACTTTGTCAGTCTAGATTCAAAAGTCTCACAGTATTTTTGTGTGTTCATTTTCCACTACCTTTCCAGGTAGTGGAAAATTGTTATTATGATTATGATGATTATGATTATGATTATTATGATTTGAAATACAACAAGATGAGTCCACAGCAGACACTCTGCTGGCTGTTGTATTGGATCACACATCAGACACTTCCCAAGTGTCTAGGACTGTGTGATGTATCAGTGAATAATGCATGCAGATCCCAGTAAGGTGGCCTTCTGCAGCTGGCAGATGTTAACCCTGTCAGCGCCGATTGTGTTTAAGTGCAGGCCAAGGTCTTTAGGCAATGCACCCAGTGTGCTGATCACCACTGGGGCCCCCTTGACTGGCTTGTGCCAGAGTCTTTGCAGTTCGATCTTTAAATCCTCATATCATGTCAGCATTTCCAGTTGTTTCTCTTCAATCGTGCTGTCACCTGGGATGGCAACATCAACGATCCATACTTTGTTTTTTAACATGATCGTGAGGTCAGGAGTATTGTGCTCCAAAACTCTGTCTGTCTGAATCTGGAAGTCCCAGAGTAGCTTGAGATGTTTATTATTATTATTATTATTATTATTATTATTATTATTATTATTATTATTATTGCGAGTGACATTGTGGCCAAAAACACGGTGAGGCAGAGAATCGGTGGTTCAAATTGAATATGGCTTTTGGTCTCAGTTAAGAGAGGAAAGTGGAGTATTGGGTTGCTGTGAGTTTTCCGGACTGTATGGACATGTTCCAGAAGCATTCTCTCCTGACATTTTGTCCATATCTATGGGAGTCATCTTCAGAGGTTGAGGGGGTCTGTTGGAAACTAGGCAAGTGGGGTTTATATATCAGGGTGAGGGAAAGAACTCTTGTCTGTTTGAGGCAGGTGTGAATGTTACAATTTTCCACCTTGATTAGCATTTAAGGGCCTGCAGTTTCCAGGCCTGGCTGGTTGCTGCCTGGGGGAATCCTTTGTTGGGAGGTGTTAGCTGGCCCTGATAGATTCTTGTCTGGAATTCTTCTGCTTTTTGAGAGTTGCTCTTTATTTACTGTCCTGATTTTAGAGAGAATGCTTCTGGAGAATGATCATACAGCCCAGAAAACTCACAGAAACCCATAGATTCTGGCTATGAAAGCATGCAACAACACATTAAACTGCATTGGTTCTCCAGTGTAGATGCACTCTTAGACTCCCAGAAACTCCCACACCAATGCGGACATTGGAAACTGCAGTCTCCCAGGAAATGTGGGGAATTGCTAGGATCAAACACCCATACTGGGGCTGTCTCTGTGTCCTAAGTTTCTCCAACTAGGGAAGTCCTATTATGGTCACCCTGCCTTTCCGATCCACCTGCCATTGAACCGCAATCTGGGAAATGACTGGCGGAGGCTCAGAGATGAATGGGAAAAGGGCGGAAGAGCAAGGAGAAACAGGAGGAGGGAGGGAATATTAGGATAATGAATATTCCAGAGGCTGCATGTGTAGGAATTGGGGATTTGAAAGTCTGATGACATATTTTTATAATGACACGCTCATTGATGCTGCTGAGTGGACGACACAAAGCCTGGGGATCATACCCTGCTATTAAAATTGGCTGGCCTTGTTTATTTCAGATATCAAGATGAGTGAGAATGTGGCCGATTCCACAGACACACGGCACGAAGGCAGCCACATAGAAGCAGGTGAGAGGCATTCTTCCTTTATTTATTTATTTCCACTCCTTCTATCCTGGATTTGGTTCCATCTCAGTTCAACAAGTCCAATGAGATGGGTATTATCCGAAAGCTTATAACTATCTTGCATATTTTGTCGCTTAGACTTTGTAGCAAAACCTGGGATCCAAAAAGTAAGGTCGAGAGACAGGTGTGAATGCTGGATTCAAAACAAAAGTGTCCTTAATTTGGATCATGGTGCTCACATTTGATATTTCAGATTGAAAGATGTACCTTGACAAGAGTGATGTGCAACTGAATGTGTGTGTACTTCTATATAAAAATATAGAAGTAAGCACACATGCGGTAAAATGCTTTACCTCCAAACCATCTATCTCAGTGTTTCTCAACCTTCCTAAAATGATAAAGGGTCTGGAGAACAAGCCCTATGAGGAGCGGCTTAAGAAGCTGGGCATGTTTAGCCTGAAGAAGAGAAGGCTGAGAGGAGATATGATAGCCATGTATAAATATGTGAGAGGAAGCCACGAGGAGGAGGGAGCAAGCTTGTTTTCTGCTTCCTTGGAGACTAGGACGCGGAACAATGGCTTCAAACTACAAGAGAGGAGATTCCATCTAAACACGAGGAAGAACTTCCTGACTGTGAGAGCCGTTCAGCAGTGGAACTCTCTGCCCCGGAGTGTGGTGGAGGCTCCTTCTTTGGAAACTTTTAAACAGAGGCTGGATGGCCATCTGTCAGGGGTGATTTGAATGCAATATTCCTGCTTCTTGGCAGAATGGGGTTGGACTGGATGGCCCATGAGGTCTCTTCCAACTCTTTGATTCTATGATTCCTAATGCCACAAAACCTTAATATAGTTCCTCATATTGTGGGACCTCCAACCATAACATTATTTTTGTTGCTACTTCATAACTTTTTCTACTGTTATGGATCGTAATGTAAATATCTGATATGCAGGATTTATTTTCATTCACTGGACCAAATATGGCACAAATACCCAATATGCCCACATTTGAATACTGGTGGAGTTTGGGGAGGGATTGATTTTGTCATTTGGGAGTTGTAGTTGCTGCGATTTATAGTTCACCTACAATCAAAGAGCATTCTGAACTCCGCCAAAGATGGAATTGAACCAAACTTGGCACACAGAACTCCCATGGCCTACAGAAAATACTGGAAGGGTTTTGAAGGGTTTTGAAGGGTTCCTTGAGTTTTGGAATTGTAGTTCACCTACATGCAGAGAGCACTGTGGATTCAAACAATGATGGATCTGGACCAAACTTGGCACGGATACTCAATATGCCCAAATGTGAACACTGGTGGAGTTTGGGGAAAAAGACTTTGACATATGGGAGTTGTAGTTGTTGGGATTTATAGTTCACCTATACTCGAAGTGCATTCTGAACTCCACCAATGAACTCCCCACAAAGAACCCCCAGAACCAACAGAAAATACTGTGTTTTTTTATGGTCTTTGGCGAGCCCTCTGGCACACCCCTAGTGACCCCCCAGAGGTTGAGAAATTCTGGTATATACTCTTATAATGCAGTTTGACTGCACTGAACCGCATTATAGGAGTCTATACTGACCATATAAGGAAGTTTCAACACGGCAGTGGAAACGGGACTAAAGTCTTTCTTTCTCTCTCTTTCACACATACATGCACTATTTCCAGTCTCATAACCCTAATGTATCATGAAAATTCATTTCTGTATTTGTCTCTGGCTGGAACTCATTGCCACCAGCATTTGGAATAGGATGACGCTGCTGCAAAACAAGTTGTAGTTCACCTACATCCAGAGAACACTGTGGACTCAAACAATGATGGATCTGGACCAAACTTGACACAAATCTTCAATATGCCCAATTGTGAATATTGGTGGAGTTTGGAGAAAATAGATCTTTATATTTGGGAGTTGTAGTTGCTGGGATTTATAGATCACCTACAATCAAAGAGCATTCTGAACCCCACCAACAATAGAATTGGGCCAAACTTCCCGCACAGAAACCCCATAACCAACAGAAAATACTGTGTTTTCTGATGGTCTTTGGTGACCCCTCTGACAACCCCCTCATGGCCCCCCAGATTGAGAAACACTGATCTATCTGATACATGTTCCAGATAAAGTCACCAGATTCCATCCAATTTTGAATGCTAAACAGGGGCAGCCTTGGTTTGTATTTGGATGGGAGACTGCCAGTGAATCCCAGGTGCTGTAAACCACAGTTGGGAGAAAGAGATGGCAAAATCACCTCTGAGTTTTCCTTGCATAAAAAAACCCGATGACATTCGTGGGGTCACCATAAATCGATAGGCGATGTGAAGGTACATACGTACATATGCCACTTATATGTGCATATTTTTTTTCAAAGGTCTCTTAGATATTAAGCTTACCCTAATGAAATAAGAAAATTAATATTTTCTGTTAATTGCATCAAATAAAATGGCAATGGCTCTTCCCTTTGACAGGTTTATAAGCAAGGTGCCCAAGGTATGACTTTTTCCTCTCTGCTTTTTCACTTAACGCATCTCCAAAGTAATCCCTGCGAGATTGACTTCAAGGTGGTTTTCCTGTCTCCAGGGTTACCTTTTTAATTATAAAGAATCCAGACAAAGTAGAGCTCCATCCTGAGATTCTTAATGTGTTAATTAGGTTAAAATTAGTCCCTCGTTAAGATCATGAAAAGACGACCCAGGAAAAGACCTACAGGTAATTGAGTTCAAAGTGGAGTTCATTGCAGGGATGTTTCCTCCAGAAATGATGAATGCACATTATTTTGGCGCATAGGTTCAGTCTTTTAATAGCCAGAACCCATAAGTGCCACCAGCTTTGCAATTGATTTGAAACATTTTCTGGAAAGCACCTTGTTTTATTGATTTTATTGCATCTCCAAGCAATGATTTTGCTTCCTTTTTTTTGGATAGTGTACTTTCACTGCAAACATGGAGCAGTCCTTTAAATATCACAATGCCTTTGCATCGTCAATCTAATTCAGCGTTTCCCAACCTGCAGTCTGAAAGAACTAAAATATGCTCTGCAACCTCACCATTACTATACCGTTGCAATGAGAGTGTTTGGGCTTGCGAAACTCTCTTATAATGCTGAGTCTTATTAAATATGGTTTTCTGTGGGTGAGCAGATAGTGGATGGCATATGTTCTGTATCAGAAACTAGAGCTGTTGTGGTCTATACAATGGAATTTTCTGAATCAGCACCCCAAATAACCAAACCAAATGTAATGTTGACCAAAAATTGATTCGTAACCATTTTGGTACTAATATTGGAGAGTGGTCCCTGGTCAAAGCGGTCCCTTGTCAAGTGGTCCCTGGTAAAAGAAAGGTTGGGAACCACTGTTCTATGAGGGTTATCTGGAAAGTAAGGTTCCAAGGCACGTAGCTCTCATGGGGATTTTTCTTGGGGGAAGTTGGAATCACTGCCATGTAGTAAGAAGCCAGTGGAAGCGAGTGAGCGAGCAGTGCCAGTCATCAGTAGTTCATCAACTGGCATTGTGGTGAAGGTTAGAGATGAACATCTTCATTCTGTTTCCCTCCAAGTGTTAAGTTTGCATTGTAATACTCTGACCAAGTGCTAAGGGCATGAACGTCGCTGTGAAAGGCATGTTCCAAGGCACGTAGCTCTCATGGGGAATTTCCTCGGGGGAAGTTGGTATCACTGCCATGTAGTGAGAAGCTAGTAGAAGTGAGTGAGCAGTGCCATTCGTCAGTAGCTCACCGACTGGCATTGTGGTGAAGGTTAGAGAGGAACGTCTTCATCCCATTTCCCTCCAAGTGCGAAGTTTGAGCTTTAATATGCTACCCAAGTGCTAAGGGCGTGAATGTCACTGTGAAAGGCATGTTCCAAGGCACATAGCTCTCATGGGGAATTTTCTCGGGGGAAGTTGGTATCACTGCCATGTAGTAAGAAGCCAGTAGAAGCGAGTGAGCAGTGCCAGTCGTCAGTAGTTCATTGACTGGCATTGTGGTGAAGGTTAGAGATGAACGTCTTCATTCCGTTTCCCTCCAAGTGTGAAGTTTGTGCTGTAATACGTTACCTAAATGCTAAGGGCATGAATGCCGCTGCGGTTCATCGCAAAATCATTTCAATTTATGGAGAGGACGTAATGTCAAGGCAGCATGTGAGAAAATGTGTATGGAATATATTGTGAGACCATGAAGAGCCATCCAAAACAAATGTCGTGGGATGCTGATAACGGGAGTCTGACTCCTTTATGAGAATGCGCGTCCACACATTTTATGTACAGGCTTGGAGATATGAGCCCTTGGGATATTCGTCTATTAATTTATAAACAAGCAGAAGTAAATAACTTTCTGAATACAATGGAACCAAAACCTTCTGAATACAATGAAACCAAAACAGAAGCAGGAACAGCTCTATCTATATGTTTGTGTTATCAATTTAGGTTTAATTAGAGATGTGTATTGATGAGAGAAAATGTGTACTTAGGGACTACAGCTCCTGTAATCCCCAGCTATCTTGGACACTGGGTAATGGCTAACCTCTGCAAGGTGCTAGGTTACTCATTGCTGCCACTATAGAATGAAGGCAATGTAAATGGAAACAACTGTCCTCACTCAGAGTTGCCTTCATCTTCTTAAAACCACATTGCAATGTAGGTCATGGCGACCGCGGCAAACAGGAGGTGCCAACAAGATGAGCACAGTGTTATTATGTTTAGTGTATGGTTGGTTCCTCAGTTGCCATGGAGCATGGATAGGCAACCTGGGACTTTTCAAATGATTTGGATGAATTTTCCATATGCCTCAGCCAGCATGGCCAATGGCCAAGGATTATGGAAACTGAAGAGAGGTTCATTGGAGCCATAAAAAGATGGCTCCATGCCACAACCTTTTTGATCTCGCTGCCTTTACATGCACTAACCTTATCAGTTGAGATGACTACAAGACCTGCTCTTATACAATTAATAAAATATACATAAATGTGCTCTGTGTCTAATTAAGCCTTTCAAAATGGAGATTTCCATGTAGAAAA